TGTCCTCTAGGCTAGCTTATACAGGGAACTCCTATAAATAAGCAATATAAAGAAACAATCCCAGCAGAAAAATGGGCAAAGGATAAAAACAGGCTATTTATAGAGAAGGAAGCCCCTAAAGCAGTAAGCATATGAAGAGTTGCTCAAGCATATTGGCAGTCAGGGAAATGCAAATTTAAACATTAAGATATAATTTTATATATGTTAGTCTGACACACATTAGAAAAACAGATAAAACCAAGTGCTGATGAAGATTCAGGGCTATTAGAATCCTCTCACACTGGTGGGGGTGTATGTAGGCACTCTAGACAGTAGCATGGAACTCAGGATAAGAACTTTATGACTCAGCAATTCTGCTCTTGAGTTGATATGCCAAAGGAAGTCTCAAACACACCTATAAGAGAACATTTACAGAGATGTCCTTATAGCATCTTTTGTAATAGAAAGTCATTGGAGGTAATCTAGATGTTGTGCCCAGAAATACAGGAGAGATAGAATGTTTTGGATACAAGCCATGGCATGTGGTCTAGCAGCAAATCAGATGTACTCATACAAAATGAATGGATCATGTTACAGAAGTGAAAAAGTAAAGAATAGAATGGGATATATAACAGGAAGATTTCCATATATTAAAAATACATGCACTCAAAAACATTTTGCAAGAGCATCTATATAATAAAAGCCTAAGCGACAGTTACAGCAGAACGACCAGAACAACTGGTCAGTTCACTCCCACAGGGGGAGCGTCCCTCTGCCAGAAGCCAAACTCCCTGCTGGCAAGCACAACGGTGGTGGTGGGAACCTCTCCCACCTCCGCAGCGTTAAGGAGCAACGAGCTGAGCAGTAAGGAGCAGCCAGCAGGCGGGCGGTAAGGAGTGAGGAGTCCCGGACTGCAAATGGGCCTGAGCCGGCAGGCAGACATCCCCTAGGGCAGTGATGGTGAACCCTTTGAGTTCGGCATGTCAAAATTTTGAAAAACCCTAACTTAACTCTAGTGCCGTGTCACATATAGAAATATTCATAATTTTTTTTTATTTGCAACCATAGTAAAAAAATAGATTTATATTTTTGATATTTATTTTATATGTTTAATTTAAATTTAACAAAGAAAAATAAACCAAAAAAATGAATTCTCGTGTCACCTCTGACACACGTGTCATAGGTTCGCCATCACTGCCCTAAAGCCCCCTTCCTGGGGACGGTGAAATTAACGCTTTCTCCCCCCTTAGCCTCTCACTCTCTGGCTCAAATGCACTCAGAAAACCTTTATCCAGGAAGACCTGATTCCAG